CCCCTTTCTGATCCAGTAAGATCAGAACCATAATCCGACTTTCCAATAACAATGTTGAATCCTAATTTGAGAATATTGTGCGGACTCATTGAAACATATGTTCACGTATAACAAATTTGTATTTATTGGCATAATTTTTCCAACATCAAACTAGACATCATCTGATTTAACATCCTTAGACGCACATCACCCATTTTAACATCCTTAGACGAAGTAGTAGTTTTTGTGACAACATTAGAGTGCACCAAAGACAATTTAAAATTCACCAGATTTCAAAATTCGGACGCAACGTTCATATTTCAGACAAAAATAAACAAAACTTTATCATAATGATCAATACAATATACATTGCCTATAATTTCAACTTCTTTTGATATGAAAACACACTTGAATGTTGCTTACAAGTTAAAATCTTAATGAAAATAAATAAAAATTTAATAGGATTTTTCAATATTAGTGTAATGATAACGAAAACACCCATACATGCAAGTTAATGGTAAATTCATTTTGCCGTTTGATATTTCCAATTTTCAATCTCCGACGGCATCCAAATATTGAAATCCTGACTTCTTTTTTTTGCAATAATAGAGGTCTTTGATAAATTGACTTGTTGTGTACTATGTACATTCAGATTTAAATCTTCAAATGTTGCAAAGGGTATTTTTAACACTTCCATATAATGTGTAATCACTATAGAGGATTTCTTATTTCACCCTATATGTTTCTTAGGCACCATGCAAAATTATTTAAATGCCTCTAGTTTTCAGAGATACATCTTCGGATGCAATAAATTCTCAATAAATTTCAGAGATACATCTCTGTAACTATTTAAAATAGGTAGGGTGAGATACATCCCACTATTAAGCCATTATACATTTGAATTGTATCGGAGATGATTCTCCGTAAATATTTTGGTGATACATCTCTGTAACATCTCAAAAATATATCTTTCATGTTATATTTTGATTATATGTGTTTAGAAGAAGATTTAAACCATACCATACAATTGAAAATAAAAAATAGACATACATAATTCCATATGGTCTAAAAATTTCATACATAAATAAAATACTAATAAATGTCAAAAATGGCATACAATCAAGATCAATCTAGTAGCAAGACCGTCAAAATTAAATGCAGACTATAGTACTACTACTATATACTAAGAGACTACTCTGTGTGTCTGACAACCTTTCCTCTACCTCCTCTGCCTTGTTTACCTCTTCAGCCACCAATCCCTCCTGTCTTCCGGTGATGTCTCTAGTACAACAATGCCACATATGCCTCCGTCATGATGGCATCTAAGACTCGCCTCACATCATACCCATCAGGTAAGATACATGTGTTAATGCTTGCATGTGAAATCTTCACTATGCAACGACACCTAGGTAAGACATCATCAGTATGATCTAGCTGTGTTTGGTCCTCCTCTAGTATCTCCTAATGATCTGGATTTGGTGGATCTCCTGGAGCAGCATGCACCATGTACGGATGTGGCACCCTAAAGAACCATTTGATGTACCATTCGACATAGATTCACTCACTCTTAGTTATGATAGCTCGTGCCTCCTCTGATACCAGATGAATCTCATAATCATTAAACATGTCATATATTTTTCTGTGTTAAAGTAGGAGGAGCAGAGACAGTAGAGTGTTTGAGAATGGTCTGAGTGTAGTCGAACTGCCGCATGACGTACTCGAGAAGATGAGGAGCAGTGAGACGCGATCCGCAAGAAAACCATCTAGAGTATAACATTATCTCGTCAAATGGTCGCTTCTGACGGTGAACAACATAGTTGTTGAAGTGCATGTCCTTAGCAACCAAACGTTCAAGATAGAATCTGAAAGGCTCAATCGTCTGGTTTCCTCTAAATTGGATAAAAGCAGTAGCACACGACATATCCTCAGTGTACTCAAGTACACTCGCTCGTCCAGAGATGCGTGGGAAGTGCTCGAGGATCAATGCATGAAATGAAAAGTGTGGAAAACATGAATCATCGGTAATGGCTTTGCAAATATGAAATGAAAATAAAAAAACATTCAAAGATCAATAATTATTACTGTCAGTAGTGTCATGTTGTCGATGACCTGCTTTGTCTTCCACATACAACCATATCTCAACTTCGAATACACGTAGACCCAAAAAGTCTCCGCCCAGTTGTACTCATGGATTCGCTCGAATCCACGAAGTACCGTAGGTAGACAACGTGTGTATAGGTGGCACTTTTATCCGCAAAAATTACAGTGTCAACCAAATAAAGCAAGTATGTTTTCAATGCAAGCGATCTGTAGAGTACCACCTGCTCATCATCACCATCAACCTGCAGTACACTATGGATCTCAGCATCATATATTTTCTTCAGGAATTCAAATCTAGCATGAGTACCTCAGGTCTTATCCAACCCCTTCATCATCTCCCATAGATCAGCCCCAAGATACTCTACCATCATCTCGAATGCCTCCTCTTTGGTCATCCTCCCATGATGTAGAAATCTCTCCCTGACCGAAAGATGTAGCAAACACGAGACATTGTCGAGTGTGATAGATATCTCACCATTCAGGAGATGAAACGAAGAGGTCTCAGAATGTCATCTCTCCATGAATTCATTAAGCATCATGTAGTTGACCGTAGTATAACTGGTCATGCATAAGTCCTTCAGGCCAGATAAGGACAAAATTCACTGAGACCAATCCTTATTCGGTTGAGGAAAGGTTAGAATCTTTCTCTTGTGGTTAAGAAACTTCTACAGATCACGCTTCTGAAAATTTTCAAAAATAATCAATGTCAAAAATATGTCAATTAAAATTAACGTAAAAAATATTAATGAATCCAACTAATGCTACCTCTTTGTCCCTGAAATTTCTCGTAATATGGTGTTCATATGGAAGTAGTAAGGAAAAATCAACTGGTTGATATTTTTGATGTTGTGTCTAATATTACAAATGAAGATTGATGTTTCCTTGAGCCTTGTTGAATGAAATTTAACTTGATGCAGAGAAGAAATTTGAGAGTTTGAAGTTAAGTTTGAATAAAATGTGAAAGGCATAATTAGTTCCAAAGTCTTTTAACATAATTTCATGTTTCGCTTTGGTCCCTTAGCAAGAAAAGGTTACGTCTGAGAATGGTTCTGTTACACAAAAAGGTTTTTTCCGTCAAAATTTCAGGAAAAAAATGTTAACTTTGCTACGTGGCATGACATGTTGGCAAGTTGAGTCAGCATGTATATTTAAAAATTAATATTTTATTTAAATTGAAGAGGTTTTATTTTAAGAGGTTAAGAATTCCCACAAAATGTTAATAATGTGTAAAAAAAAATATTAAACACTTCCATGAATAAACAATGTACATATCAAACAAATATTTTTTTTCTATATTAATTTGCATATGCAAAATAAAAAAATTATTCAATTTAATACAATTACAACAAACAACACCAACATCAGACTCAACGCATGTTACAAAAGTTCTATCATCCTCAATGTCAACAAAACTATCATCAATATTACAAAGTCTATCATCTTCATCTTAAAACTTAATTTGTCTAAACATCTCTTTGAGTCACATATTCTCCATAATCTCAAAAATAGCAATCCTTGCTTCAGGCTTCGTAACATTCGTGGAACACTTCAAAAAAAAAACACATTAATGTTTTTGCACGAGCACATCTTGTGCTTAAGGTATGGTTGCAATTTTGGCAACAATGAAATAGGGGATATCCAAGTAGTCATTGATATCAAGGAGATATACCAGGTAGTCATTGATACAAAGCATCTGTCCTTTTGAATTTATGTTATATAAAGCTAAAAATCAAGTTAAATGAATAAAAAGAATTAAAAAGTAAATTGAAGCAAGGTTTTAAATAAATTGAAATTGAAAATGTAAATTTTGAAAAATAAATATGTTAACAGTATCCCTCAGTCAAAATGTCATTATAGTACCTACTGTTGTTGCGTCAACCCTATTACCTCATAAGCTTCTGCCTATGTCTAGCTTCTTCGCCCCGCCCTAGAATAAAGATCTAAAATGAAATAAAATCTTGTAACTTGCAACTGGTAATCTGGGAACAAATACCCTGCGATTTATGTAGAAACAAATATCCAAAAATCAAACACATAGTAAACAAATCTAAAATAAAACATTCAGCAAATCTCTTATTTTGTTACTTCGCTTCTGTCAAAAACATAATATTTTGTTACTTCGCTGAAAGAAGATGTTAAGAAAGAAACGAAGAAAGATGAAAGAGAAAGATGTAAAGAGTTTATAGATGAGGAAAAAGAGAAACAAAATGGCAGCTACTAGGGTATTGAAAAGGGAGTAACATATTTTTATTTTTGGAATTATAAGATTTAGTATTAAAAAAGACAAAATCAAAAATGTAAAAAAAATCCAGACTAAAATATAAGTATATAACATTTTTTAATTAAGGGACTAAATTAAAACATTAAGTTAAAGGACCAAAAAAAACAAATTAAGTCCATGTGAAATTAAGGAAATATCTAACAAGATTTAATCTCCAAAATATTTCAGAAATGAATATTTTAATTGTCCTTTTAGTGCATCCAAAAATACATCTCTGAAAACTATAAACATTTTTGAAATTTTGCGTGGTGCATAAAAAAATGCATTTTGAAATCCTATCAGCACATGAGGTGTAGTGGACACCACCCAAACGAGTACATCTATGCCAAAGCCCATAACAGTTGATCGTCCTTCTATTAGAAAATTCCATTCAACTTCAATTATGTGTATATCCCCAAATATAAAATTAATCTCCTCAGCCAAATCATGGGAGCACTATGATTGTCTGTTTGACAAAAAGAAGGCAGCAAGTTGAAATGTCATGAAGATGGAAATTGAAGAGAATTCATTAATTACAACAAAGTCATTTCTTCCCAAAGAAAAACAACACAGTAAACCGATCATTTTCGTGCAGGAGAGTTACAGATCAACATTTGGAAAATACAATCTAGTTAGTATACACATCAACAATGATAATACACTATCTATAGCCAAACCCTAAGTCTAGTTCATGAATCCCCCCCTGGTTGTGCCCTGAAGTATGGATTGGCTTTGAGTTTGACCTAAGCTCCATCTCAAAAAGCCTCTGAAGTGCCTCTGGATGATTCCTTCCACCAGCAACCCCGGGAGCTAATAAAATAACCAAAAATATATATATATATTTATCAGGAATTGAACATGTATTGAGAGAGAATAAAACTGATGATCAATATTCAGTTGTAAGATCCTAAATCAATTTATCAACAGTTTGTCAGGCAATTTAGATTTCCACACTAGTGCACTAGATTACATATGACATACATACCCATGACTGAACGAGCTCAATCGTGTAAACCAGAACAAGCAATAACTAATTAATACATTATCTGATGAAACTGTGTAACTGTGAATGTGCAGAAGGAAATGCGAGATTGATTGAACTAGCTTTGATAGTCCATTGGACCTCAAGGTCAGTGAAACATGTGCAGGCCTCAAAATATCAAACAATATAGTGATTATGAAAATAAAGCCGCAATCAGAATTGCAAATGACCTGCTGTCAAACTCACAATCCATGTCGTCTTCAACTAGAAGAATAAAAGATTATAAATGCTCAATTTAAAAAACTAAGATCAATCAATCCCAATAAGCATAAAATACAACCACTAAATTCCTTGTCATGAAAAAAAAAACTACAACCACTGAAAAATTATGAACTTTAGAAGGATCAAGTATCCAAAAATGATTGCAACAGAATTGATATACCAACTAATCCATGCCCAAAAACATTTTTCTACAAGTAAACTATTGAAAGCAATTCAGGATTAATATCAGTCTGACTCTGAAGCTATAATAATAAATATATATAAATAAATAGAAAAAGAAAAACTAACAGTGTAGCAATGCACATCAAATAATGTTTTACCTTGCAATTGCATTCCAGGGCCCCCTAAATGCTGCTGGCCACTAAATGGGAAGCCTTGCATTGGGTTTGGTTCCTGCATAATACCAGACATCGGATTACCGGGATGAGGGGGCATAGCTCCACCCCTTGGGAAACCTCGTAATAGATGAGGTGGAGGAAGGTTCCCTTGCATATGCATCTGTTGTAACAGAGGGTGATGAGCAGGAGGATCAAACCCAGTTACAACACTGCTTGGTTGGTGGAAAGGAGGACGAAGCATATTTCCTGGAAAATGACGGTTGGATGGAGAGTCATGATGGACCATGCCTTCAGAAGTCACATGCTTCATATAAGAGCTAATATGAGGAGAATGTGAGTCCGGTTGATTGAACATTGGACCAATGTGATTCAACTGATGGGGTTGGAGCTGTGAAGACCGGTGGGCGTTGAGATTTTGATATGGAATACCAGGTTCCCTTATTTCATAAGGACCACGAGGGTATGCTTGACCTTGATTTCTCATCATAAGCCGTTCGTCTCTAAATGCAGAATTTAGAGCTGCCAGTTTTCTAGTAATCTCAGCAGGTGTGTCTTGAGACAAATCTGCCTTGGCTGAATTTCCAACAGATAAAAAGGTTTGCAGAGGGTCGCTAACAGAAACCAAGCTATCTTCTTCAGGGAGGCGAAAATCGTGAGATCGATTGAAACCACTAGCCTTGGAAATCCCACTTTGAAGTAGCGATGAATTAACATCTCCATGAGAATCTCCATACCCTAACCACTGCTCTTCCAATCTATTTGATTTGGGTTGATGAGTTTTTTCTGAAGGAAAGGCACCACCACTTCCATGTCTGTTCAGTGTAAGCTCGCCAGTAGGAGGATTGACATTGTCTGAGGTAGGGAAAGGAAACAACTGAGACTCTGAAAAATCAGCACCTACAGATCCAATTGAACTTCTTTGAACAGAAAGGGGTGCTCCAACTGATTGCAGCTCCTTCATAAAAGCTGATCCAAAAAGTGTTTCCAGCGTCAATGTTTTTGATGAATTAGAAGCATCTGCATTTACTTTCTCTGGATTATCAAGAAATTTTCCAGTAGTTGCTCTTTCAGTGTTGTGCACCGTATCAGTAGAATGTATAACAGACGATAGTTCCACATCTTTATGTAAGGGTCCTTTCTGTAACAAAGAAAGAAGGTGCTCGGATGCATGACCATCAATTGAATTGGACTGCCCAGCCTCTGTACCAAAATCTTTGTCCTGCAAGCACGGCTGAGATGACAAACCATTTTCATTAACTTGTGATAGAATTGACTGTTCAAGATCTTCACATGTAAGAACTGCAGGTAAAATTTCAGGTACATCGCTCTTGTAAGATAGCTCAGAGTTACTAATAGCGGTATGGGTTACATTTGTTGGTATGCCCTCACCAGCTGGTTCAGGATTTTGGAAATTAAAATTTGGTGCAACATGATGGGTTTTCTCTACATTGGAAACTTGTAGCCCACCCTTTTCACCGCCAACAATAAGCGAGAGCAGGTCATTTGGCTTAGGTGTCAAATCATCCAACGACTTCTTTTCTGCATTATGGTAAGTGGGTAATGAAGAAAACAAGTTAACATAAAGTTACAAAATACAATTGTAACGTATAAAAACTTTGAAGCACTTGCGAAGTACAACTGTAATGCATAAAAACTTTGAAGCACCTACGAAGTACAACAGTAATGCATAAAAACTTTGAAGCACTTACGAAGTACAACTGTAATGCATAAAAACTTCAAAGCACTTATGCATGTACATATCTACACACATACCTTCTTCAGCAAACCAATGAGCAAACTTCGAAGATTGGAAGGCATGTGGACTCCATGTCTCATCTGCTTTATGATCAGACTGCTACAAGAGCATAAAAAGTCAACTCATAGTAAAGTAAAACAGAACAAACTCTGATCCAAATCACAATACATCTAGTCCAATAAGTATTCATTTTTAGAAATATATATGTCAAACTGTCTTTGCGTCACAAGTATATGAAATTCCAATAATTTCTTTAATTACCTCAACAATACTAGTAGATATGCCACTGGTTAGCGTTGAAGCATTACCAAAAAGCTTGTATAGGATAGACTCAGAACTCTCAGGATTGAAAGCTGCTCCTATGGCCTCCTTTCCTTTTACTTCAGCCTTAAGTGGAATAAATGTATTGTCATCTGATGCTTCCAAGGCTTCTGAAAGAGCAGATCTCTTTCTTAGTTGATCATTAATTCCAGTTTTAATGTTGGGGATATCCACAGAAGATGATAAATTAGAAGTATTTTCTTTCTCATTGTTGATTGAAACATTTATATCTGCCCTTTGAAGATTCTGTTGATTGTTATCCACGTGCATGGTTGATAAGTTTCCTTCTTTATTTTCAGGATTTATACTGAATACATGGCTACCCCGGGTATCTCCGGGCTCAGGTTTCCCAGCCTGCATAAAAAACCAGAGACGTCAAAAATGCATAAAAGAGCTGTGAATAGTTGCATGTTGCGAAAGTTACTAAAAATCCGTTAAGTTTTTCAATTTAATTTTAAAGTTAGTTCTCAGTGCCTAGGCTCCCTGTCTATATATGGGGAAAAGCAGCATGAAAGCAAGAAATAATGCACCAGCAACCTATGGTATCTTCCATGTTGATTTGGCATCCAATAAGGAAAATAAAGACCAAAATCATAATCCAGTTTAAGATTAAGACCCTCGATAGAAAACTTTTACCATACAAAATTTAAATGTTGAGACTTGATATTGGAACTTGATTGCTAAACATTTAAATAGAGGGTGCTATCAAATACTATATCACAATCTATTTGATTCCTCCCTTACATTGTTGGTAACAACATGTCAAGTTACAGTTCACGACCATAAACCATCTCTATGTCAATTTAATTCTTATAAGGAAGTTGCTATATAAAAACCTAATTGCCTTATAACTTTCTCTTTGATATTAGACATTAACCCAGCATTTGAAGCAAAACATCACAATCAAAACAAGCTGTTCTGTGAGACTAATTTAATTGTTGACATTAAATTCTCAGCACTTAGAAAACTAGTGCCGTTGAATCAAGCTACCCTTTGCTTTCAAACTCTTGAACTTTGCATGATTGAGATTTCTCTTCAGACACTGAATATTATTCTATAAACACACTTTGGAATGACAAAGGCTTTTTGAAATTTCAAATTTTTCATGCTACCAGAGAACTTATTCTGAACTGTACAAACTTTCATTAATGATTATCATCACAAAAACATGACATGCTAAGGACTCGGTTCTCCAACCCAAAACACCAACATTCCACACTAACTCTGAACAATAACATCAAAAAATCTCTATCCAGATACGTAACATTTATAAAAGACAATATCAACATTTACAACTTAAAAAATTAATACCAAATTGTATGCCAAGTTGAACGCTTCAGGCAATTGATCTTTGAGCTTAACATTCTAAAATTGACAGCATTCAAAGGCCACAAACAAGGTGGATAAAAAGTGTCAACTAGTTACCTCTGCTACATGAGTGTTAGAGGATATTTTGGTACCCATATTCCTTTCCAACTTTGTGTTTGCAAAACCAGGGGGTACAAGTGGTCTTGCTGAAGCAAGTGAATGGGAAGAAGATTTCTCATCATTGCTTAAAGCTACTAAAGTCAAAGGAGGCTCCATTGACTCATTGCCTCCAGCAACGAGCCTTTTTGAATCATCGTCGATAAGTGAAGAAAGGTCAAAATCCACTTTATTCTTGTCTGGGTTCATCTTAAGCTTCTCAGTTTGCTCTTTTCTCATCAATTCAAAAGAGGCTGGCAAAAAAGTTGTCATTCATTGAAGTTAAATTTATTATACATGATTTTACAAATGGACCTAATTACAAATTTAAACAGAACATTAAGGTAATAAATAATGAGAACAAATACAGTTTACCAAGCACCACAATATCTAGTGGTGAGACATGAGGCAAGCCTATCTACTGCAAAACAGCCCAGCCCTTAAAAACCTTGTGGCATCTTTTAAAATTCTAATGGATTTATGTTGTGTACAGCGGCAGGCAATGCGTTTCACTTAGTGTATGCCAGACAATGGGCTTTCTATTTCTATTTTCAAGCACTTGATTAGCCTTCCCAAAGTAGAGCATGCCACCTTGGGAATTACAGCAGATGTCGTCTTTAAATGAAAAGAATGCCCTAAATTGTGTCTGAAGTTTCTATATTTGAAATAATTATGAAGCAAACTCATGGCACCAAAAAATTTCAGTGTTCATTTTAGTGGGATCATATCAGTGGCTTATCTGTTGCACAAAGGGGTTCAGATTATCTCCTTGAAAATAGCCAGGGAAATTTCTCAATTCACAATTACTAGTTTTGTTTGATGATTTTTGCACTGAGCATTCAGGTATTATTTAAAATTTCTGTAGACTTGCCTCGTTATGATCTGACCTACCCAAGACAGATATTCAGAGTTGATTAACATGTTCCCAAATCATAAGGTTGGTTCACAACTCAGCACACACTTGAAAAGAATAACAATTTAAATGAATTAAATGACAAAACAGATTTTTGATATTGCTAGAATGTAAGAAGGGTGGTTTGTGTTCCCCTCATTGCAGTTGGATTAAGTTCGGTAGAGCTAGGTTTCAGCTCATTAGAGTTGTGGATTCTTTAACCTCATTGTCCTGTTGGGTTCATCGCAAAGTTACACAGGGTTTGATATTGCTAGAATGTAAGAAGGGCGGGTTGTGTTCCCCTCATTGCAGTTGGATTCAGTTCAGTAGAGCTAAGTTTCAGATTATCAGAGTTGGATTCTTTCACCTCATTGTCCTGTTGGGTTCATTGCAAACTTACAATGATGTGTATGTTCATGTTGGGTTCTTTCACCTCATTATCCTGTTGGGTTCTTTCACCTCATGTTTTCTGGTTTGAGATGGGAACTGTGGGGTTGAAACTGAATGCAACACCATTCGCATCCTTTGCAAGTTAGGATATTTTGTGCACTATAGAGCTTAATATTTCAGTTGTTAGGATATTCTATGCACTACCGAGCTTAATCACTCAGCTAATACATTCTGGGTCTTTTATTTAGAAAAACAACTAACCACTATGATATAAACTCCCTCAATCATCCACAAACTTACCTATGAGAAACTGGTGACTGACAAGGCTGAGAGACATGTCTTAGAAAATAACCATTACGATATAGACTCGCCCAACCATTGCCAAACTTACTATTCTAAATATTGTGCTATGTCTATTATTTGTTTGGAGCACTAGTTAACTTTGCAGTTTATTAGCTAAGCTTGGGTTTACTTACTCAATCCGACACCTATGCCTACTATTTGTTTGGAGCATTAGTTAAATTTGCAGTTTCTAAGCTAAGCTTGGGTTAGCTTACTCAATCCAACACCTCCCAATTCAGATGATAGTAAGGCTCATCAAACACTATTGATCCAAATTTTCATGAGGACATAAAAAAATATTGAGTGGTGCATTGAGCCATCATTCTACACATGATGCTTTTGCCAATCATGTTATCTCTTCTCCATACGTCAACCCTTCAGTTTGTCAATTTCTAGAACAAGTACATGCCTCTCGGCCTTGCCAGTCATCAGTTTCTCATAGGTAATATATGTGAGATCAAGCCAATCAATTAGAAGAGGAGGGGGGATAGGGCTATAGCAAGTAGCAACATTGTCTCAGGCCCCATCAACTTTGTGGAGGTTTTCTAACAGGTTTTATGTGCTGTGTAGAGCAGAAGACAATGTACTGCGCAGTACGACATGCATTTTGACATGATTAGCCTTCTTAAAATATAGCATGTACAGCTTAAGAAACGAGAGAAAATCTCATCCATAAATGGGAAGAATCCCTGTAAGTTGTTGTTGTGCATTTTCTATATATTTCAAGACATCATTCAAACAATTAGACAATATCTTCAAGAAAATAACATATACCTCTTCTCTTTTTTTCCTCCTCTGCCCTGTCCTCACTTGTACACTCCAAGGAGCCAAAAGTTTCATCATTGAAAGAGTCGTTAGTTTCTCTACGAGAGTGGGGTGCCTAGCAAGTATCCAAATTAACAAATTATAACAGACTCAGAGTTAATTGCTTAATATCTCAACACTGTCCATAGCTTCAACACATCAAATATAAAATATACATGATTGAGATTTGAGAATTTTTTGAAGTAATCAATACACTTTGGCTAATATACATCTGTCTGAGAAATATATATAACTTCAGATAAGTGAGATAACCTTATAAGGACGAGGAGGGAGATAGGGCTCATTTGACCGATTTGGCTGGTAATTGTCATTAGCTCGAAACTTAGGAGCAGACAACCCAGGTGCATACCCAGCAGGTCTTGGAAAAGAGCCACTACCTAGAAGTCCATCGTGCTCAGGACCTTGCAAAGATCTACGAGACTGGTTGCCAATACGTTTTCCAGAATCTGTATATTGACATTGACAATGAAATAGCAACATAAAACTCGACTTACGTAAAACTTCTACTCCAACATCCATAAAAATGACAGGCACAGAATAATTCCATATTTATCCAAATGTTTGTCACTTGTAGAGGCATTTAGAATTCTTGTATTTTAAAAATTAGAAAGAAATGAAGTATTTTTGTAGATGAAGTGTAAACACCTGAATCCCATTCCGATTGAGAATCAATGTCTCTGTCTGAACGTCCAGAAGAGCGAGAATCCCATTTTCCATGAGTTCCCCGTGAAAAGTTATTCATATCCCCTCTGGTTGGAGGGGATGAACTGTACTCATTGCGTCTGAAACTATGCGTTGGTAGAGCACCAGTACTTCTATGTCGATCCAGTGAAGCATCTTCAAATTCACTGTTTTCCATGCAGAAAAGCAAGGCACGCAAGACATAGAGCTTAAATACATATAAGATGGCTAAAAGGAAAATGTTAGCACTCCGGCAATATAGCTTAATATATACCTTAAAAGCGATTGATCAAACCCACTTGGAAACTCTTTGCATACATCCAATCCACTAATAGACAACAAAAACTCTCTTGTGTATGAAATTTTCAACTTCCTGAGCAAACCTCAACAAATAGGTATTATGATATGCATCACATTTTAAATTATAAACATCATAAGAAATATGATACAATAAGCTAATCATAGAAGATAGAGAAGTTTACTTTTGCAATCCATTATCAGTTGCCTGATCCAACAAGTTCTGATCTTCGTTTTCTAAGCTCATTTTGTTCCCTCCACACAATACGTATGCTAACAAAGTTGATAACCAATGTCAAATATTTTCAACCGATGAACAATGCAGAGTATTACTACAGCCCACAAAGAGCATTAGCCATCAACAATCATAGAACTCATAACATAGGTTCAACACTCTCCTTAAGGAAACTATATTTGACTAAATATTTCTGCTCCAACGCCAGATACAGTACACAGGTTAAAAAAAACCCAAAATATTAGTATTATTGTTCTAGTTCAATCATAAGGCCAACAATTCCTGCTTTTTCATCATTTATTTCTACAATACCTTATACGAAAATCTTCAAAGCTATCAAAAAAACCCAAAACCTAGAACCAATATACACAAACAATCCCACTCACTGATCCAGCTCAATCAACGAGACTCGTCATCCAAAACCCTCTCAAGCTTCCACTTTTGCGAAAATCGAGCAATATCACCCCAGAAAAAAAGTTGAAAAAACTACTCTCTCCTTCAATGAAATTCCCGAATGAAACGTAAAGATTGGTATATACAAATCATCACCCCTTGAGCAAAACTCAGAACACAGATTCACGGGAGATAGAGATTTAATTCAAAAAAATTGTGGAATACCCATGAAATTTAGGGTTTGTGCAATAAAAAAAGGGGGGAAAGAAGAAAAAGAACTAGGGTTTGGAATTTCTAAAGATTAGCTATGCGGATCGAAGGATAGGTATACAATCTAGGAATGGAATAGCGTGAAATTGATATTTTGGGGGTGATTTTGCAGAAATGGATCGCGATTGAGGAAGAGAGAGTGAGCGAGAGGAGAAGAGATTTGAAGAGAGAGAATGTAGAGAGAGATTGTTGCTATTATGGAGTTTTTATTGTTATCTATTTATTTATTTTTCTATAAATATGGTTTACAAACACAACTATAATATGGTTTACAAACACACAATTGTAAATGTAAATCAAACCGATGCTTACCGGAAAGATTGAAATGCATATAGTCAAGCACACAAAAGAGTTAAGAAACCAAGCTCACATCAATTTCAATTTAAACTCAAAGAAAATAAAATCAAAAGTTTTGAAAAGAAAGTTGAAAGATAGGAGGGTAAAAACCCTAAAATGGAACGTAACTTTCTTATAATATAAAGTGTTTCTAAAATATGAATTTTAAAATTCTTTAAATACTATATGAAAATATGCAACAATACAAGATATTAGCAAAAAGAACCAATCAAAAATAATAAAGTTGTGTTAATATAAAATTTAAAGAAAAATCAAAGATTTTAGTAATTAAAAATAAACAAGTGTCTCATCCAAGACTTGAACTCAAGACCTTATGAATCATGGACCAAAATCTTGCCAATTCTGCCACCATGTGCATGTGATATCATGCGCTCGTGTTCTAAACATGTTGCTCATGGATTAAATTCAAAGAGGGATCTCAGTTTTGCCATGAATCAGAAAGCGATTCTCAAATTGCAAGTTGGTGAAATGGTTTAAAATAGACTTGGTATATGGACAATGTTAAAACAAATGACTCAATGACAATGCAATGTTCATTAATCCAAACTACGGCTGATTAAGAACTCAACACAAATAAATTGCAACAAATTAAGGTTGAGCTTGATGGCATCAGAGGTTATCAAACCTCAAAGCAGGAAGCTGGCAGAATCAATGCACCAATACATTCACTAACAGTTTTAATAACAACATAAACCTATGCAGGAACCTCACGATCCAAACTTTAGTATGAGAAACAAAATTCAACAGCAAGCATAAACTGACAAGCTTAAACCCTAAGAATAAATCATGACAAACACAGTTATGAGCCCCAACATGACGATGTCTAGATCAATCAACAACTAGTCCAACATTCATTCTCATAACAACTTACAAGTTTATGACAGTATGCCTTTTATAACACAAATGTAATCTTCTTGACATAATAAAAACCAATCATCCTAACAGCAGTCCCTATACAAAGCTCTAATAGCAATAATCATGAGTTGCCAACTCAAACCTCAAAACAGTTTAAGACAGCATAGGTACAACCATAACTATGTTGATCAATCAGCACCTCATATGAATCATCTCAACATTGGACAAAACCATCAAATAAACAACAACCCTAACTCTAAAAACAGTCATTAACTTAATGCAAACAATAGATATTTGGGCAAGCCAACTTAAAAATAAATTCAAACAGAAAAGTTGCAGACTTAATCATTACAATGTTAAGTCAAAACAAAGCACATTTAGGAGGAGCTTTAGCAACAATGTAAAGACTAAGCATACACATGTAACTCTAATAAACAAACTCAAACATGAGGAATCAGTTTTGGCAGCAACAAGACATGAGTTAATAAACTCAAACTTCAAAACAATATAGTTACAACCTAAAACATTGTTAAAGTTCAAAACTGCTCAAAGCACATATGAAGTTACAACTCAAAAATCAAACAAAGAACCAAACTTAGAACTATGTAAATCCACATTTTGACATTAAAATGCCAAGTCAAACTAGTGTATACTTAATCAAAGAGTTAATCACTCAAAGTAAGTCATCATGAGTTGACAAACTCCAACTCAAGACATCCCTAACAGCAGTGAAATTTCAATCATGGCAACATTCAAACTTATCCAACAAACTGTTCCATTCATACATGATAGGACAGTTGCTTTTAAACAGGTTTTATTATGAGAAATACATTTGACAGCAATGAATACAAGCTCAACATAACAATGTCAACAATACACCACCTGTTTCAACAGCACATGTACATTCTTTTACCAAAGTCAACACACACACCCATTGCCCTAAGTTGTAGTCTAACAACATTTATACATCTCAACAAGAATCAACAATTTTATAGCCAAAAACCTCTAGCACTAACAGTAACAAACATGACAATGTTGTAGCAATAGTAAGCTTGACATAACAATATCAAATCCATACTGAAAGTTAACAAACTCCATGACAGTTTTTGACAGCATAGTACAATTTAAACATAACAGTGTTTAAATCATTCAACAAAGCAATCAATACATACATGATGCATAATAATGAGAAGGTTTAGGATTACATACCTCTTATAGTCTTCCCACAATAAGCTAGCTACAAAAACAAGAGATTCCTCCCTCCTTTGAGCAAGCTTGTGAAGTTGCTTCTTCTTGAAGAAACAAAGAAATCTTAAGGACAGTTTGAGTAGATAGATTTCCAGTTGTTATTTGAAGTTATGGACAGTTAATATGACCTAAATAGAGGGTGTTCAAAGTGTCAAAGTAGTGGAAATTGATCTAGGTAGTGAATTGTTCCATATTATGCATAAAAGTCAAACTTAAGTGAGTGAGGAGTTAACTTTTGGATTTATGGTTTTTTTGATGAAACTAATGATTGGAATAGCTTCAAATGGTGATTTTAAGTTTGTGTGGATGGTCTTTATGGTGGTTTTATGGCTAGAAATGGAGCTGGTATGGAACTTGCATAAGGCAATTTTTGGTGGTTTTGTGACTTTCTTCACTTACAAGCAAAGCAAGATAGAATGAGAGCTATGTTTTCTCTTGGGTTTAGAGGGCTCTGGTGTGTGGAATAACATGATAGGGAAACTTTATTTATAAGCAAAGTGAAAGGTTTGGACAAATTTGCTTAAGTGGTTTTCAAGGTGGTTTTAGTGAAAAATCTCATGAATCTATGTGATGGTTTTGGTTCTGCAGGCTTTGCTTGCTTTCAAGGAGTTTAGCCCCTTTAAACCAGCTAGCAATGAGCTGTGAGAAGTGACCAAAAAGTGAGCAAAGACACCCCCCAAGCTGCAGCCACCAATACTCTCTCTCATGGTGTACCTTTTGTACTTTTCTTTAATAAACAAATGGATTTTGGATGAAAACTTGGATTTGCTTGGATTCCTTTTTGATCTAGTTCATTGCATCCTCTAACACATCATATTAGATGTCATTCCATGGTTAGAAATGAAGTGCATAGTTGGAAATCAAGTTTATGTTGAGTTTTAACATGATGACAATCAAGTGTTTAGGCCCAACTTATCCCCTTTGAAACTCTCAGCTCACAAGGGATATGGAGGAGTTCTTGTACTTTCTAGAAAGCCCTCATTATGCTCTAAAACTTTCATGTTTACGAAAGTTTCAAATTCCAAGTGGAACTAGGTCAAAAAACCCTCAAAGTTGGCTAAAAACATGTTTAAAAGTGCCAAAAACTTGGAATTTTGCTACGTGTTTTTCTCCTCTTATGATGATTTTGACTATAACTCCAAATCTATGCATTTTTTGTACATAGACCACTGCGACACTTTTGTAGGACCTGTCAAGACCTTTACAACAAGCTTTGAACCACCTCATTTGGATGTGTGGTTAGGAATTTATGGTCTTGTCCCTTTCAAAACCCTAATTCCCGACTTTTTCGATTACTCCTAATCCTTGATCCAATGGTCACAAAAATTTATGAATACATTTAATATTTTATTAGGAACATATTTGCTTCAAACTTTAAGGTCAAATTTCTTTTAGTCAAAGAGTTGACTTTTCAGTCAAACGGATCGGTCGATCGAAAAACCCCGAATCGACTATTGATGTTCTGGATCTTTTGAGACTTTGAAACTTATTGGGTGGACTTCACTAAGCCATATGAGCTTCATGGACCGTTATTCCATCATTGGAATGTCTTTTAAATCAAAAGTCAAACTACAGTTGACTTTTCCTGATCAGGAACCCTAATCGGGTGTCCTGGACTGCACTGTTCTTGATCTTTGAGTGACAACCTCAAATTGGATTCATACTTGACCCAATATGGTATCTTTAATGATGTAAAGATTTGTTCCATGGAGAATCAATCCAAGACATTGACTGATCAAACCATTGAAACCTCGATTCCTAACTATATGAAACTCTAATTCACCTGTATCTTGACAAAGACAAACTTGAAATAGGTTAAGGTTAGACAATCAAATGGTGATGCTCCTAGAATGATGATGAAGATCTAAGGGGTCAAAATTTGGGGTGCA